GCAAACTATTCCCCCCCCCCCCCAATTTGGAAAATGGGGGTGTCCCTTTGTGCAAAGAGGACTTGTCTGAAGATTTTGGGGTATTGAGGCCCAGGTTTTGCAAATGAACAGGGCCCACGACTTGGATCTGGTCTTGGAGGATGAAGCCTGGCAGTAACAAAAGAAACTTTTCTGGACAGGGGGAATCTTCCTAGCTTGAAGTACCCCCTGTGACATCCTTTATGAGGGTGTCCAAAACAGCTCCAAAGAGCCATTCACCTTTAAAAAGCATGTGCAGCAAACATTCCTTACACTTCTGTTCTGCAGACCAACACTTCAGCCAAAGATTTATCCACTTAGTCACTGATAAGAGTCTCCTTCGGGAAATAGAACTAATCTGTCTTTGCAATAGTGAAGGGCTGTTGGCATGAGCTCTATGCCCTCTACGAATAAAAAGGTCAGTAAGAATAGTAGTTTCATCCTTTAACATGAGTTTAGTCCATTCAAGGTTTGAAAGACTAAAATCAGGCCACGGCAGGTTGCAAAGCAGTTTGTTTGTGAAAACAAAGATTCAAAGAAAATACAGCAATCAAAGCTGCAAATCAACCTATAAACTCCTACCTAGCCGTGGAGAAATCCTCCCTTTTTAAGGCGGAGGAGAGGGCCACACCTTACGGGGCTAAGAAAGACTCTGAGGAGTGTATGGACTCAAGCAGGGGACAATTCAATCTGTCAAGTAGATGAGGAAGCACACTGCAGGCCATCCAGGAATGGTTAGATGATCTTGAACTGGTAAGAGCCGATACAGAGGGACTGCTTCCCTTGTGCTTGGAATCCAACATGATGCACTGCTTAAGAGAGACAACTTAATAAAGAACACCGGGTTAAAACCATGTAAAAACGTACAAACCAGCTACTAAAAGCAAGAGGGGCCTAAATGGCCAGAGATGACCAAATCACCATAGGCATAAGCAAAGATTACTGAGGAGAAACCAAGTTCTCTTTTTTTTTTTGCAAAGCAGAAAGATGGTATCTCACAATGAAAAGTCAGGCACAAAGTTTGGACTGATTCTCCAGCTAGTGACACAGCACTCAATTCCTCAGTGTATGATTCCTTTCTGTAGAGAAGAAAAAAAAGGGGGACAATAGCACCCAAATGGTTCCAATATATATAGTAATCCCTGATGTACAGCTCATACAGCCTATTAATTTAAGTATGTTTTGAGACTGGGTACCACCAGAGGCTGTACCCATGGCTCTGCACCTGGAAAGTGCTTTGCAGCAAACAGTACCTACTGGTCTGGAAAGCGCCACAAGCAGAGCCTAATGTCTGAAGTAATGAAGAACGAGGAATAAGGGCAACCCCCTCACCACTAAAATACAACACTTTCTTTATCCTACTTGCAAGGCAGTGGATGGAACCATAGCAATCATTTTTTTCTGCCTCTGTCATTTATGCCATATTCAATAAGTTTTTGTAACATAGAAAAAAACTGGATGACTGAATCATAAACAGCCATAACATAGCATCAATTTTTGTGCTTTCAGTCTCTTTTTGCTTTTGAAAAGGGAAATGGGGAGGCTGTCAGCTCCACACCTTCCACTTCAATAAATTTCAAATGATGATCTTGTAGCCTGTCGCTCTAGAAGTATGTGTACAGGAGTATGGAATCTGTAACCTTGTTATAAATCTCAAGTGCTGATAGAACACGGTTTAACATCTCCTAAAGACTAAAAGCTAGACAGTGCATTGCCTCAGTTGTCTCCTGCCATCAAGTATTTCACTATCTTATCACAAGTAATGCTTTGCCTAGATTTAGTATCGCACAACACTCCATAGGGTTGACATATCATACAAATAACTTATAACCTACTTGCAGTAAAGTGTCAGCAGATACAGGCACAAGTTTACCTTTTGTATTTTGCTCTTCATCCACTAAGCCTGCGTTGTTATTTACAGACTTAAATCACTGTACCTTGCTTAAGGTTTTCCCACTCAGCTCCTATGGACGTAGGCATGCCACCCAGAACAAAATCCCCCAACAACCCTTTTCCAACACATATGAGGCTATTTTATAAACTGTTTGCACAGCGAACAGCTCTGCAAACAAGATTCCCCTCTAGATCATTTTCCCAGCATCAAATTGTACCTTGTTTCGGTAGCAAGAAACCACTTTCATTACATGCTGTGACATCACTAGACTTGTAAGATAGTTGTAGGGGTAGCTGTAGAACTACATTACCCAATAGCCCTTTCCTAACACATGGAGGTCCATTTATGAACCGTTTGTGCAGCCAACAGCTCTGAGAATGGGATTCACAGTGTATTATGGCTACTAGATAAAGCTGATGAGTATAGGGTATTCCTGTGCTCCTCGGTTCCTGTAATCTAGTGGCCATAATACACTGTGAATCTCATCTACAGAGCTGTTCGGTGTGCAAATGGTTTACAAATAGACTAACAGTGTGTGGGTAGGTTCTTGGGAATCAAGACAACAGGCAACATTGCTTTGGATTTCAAAAACAGCAAAGGCACTGTGCTGTCAGCCCAAACAGGAAGTTAGAAGCCCACTGGATTTCTGGCAAATCAACCCAGCCCTCTTGTACATAAGCTCTGCTTAAGTCTTAAAGCGAATCTGTCATGTTAGAAGTATAGGGGCGGTCATTGCAGGCTTCGTTCTAAAAATGCAAGATGACTGGCTGTCTGACTTCAGTATGTTTCAGACACAGTCCCGGAACAAGCTAGCTGTAAATTAATCTGACTGGCTGCCATAGGCAGCAGCCGCATTTTGATTGAAGAGAACATATTTTACCAGCACACTGTGGATCCATAATATATAGTCCAAACATTTATTGAAAGGATCACATGACAATAGGGGCAATGTTTCATTTTTCAATGTTTCACTGCCACACAGGACCATTTCATCTGGCATATGATGATCATACCTGACAAAGGCATCGTGCGTGGCCTCGCAATTCTTCACTTTCACTTACTGTGATGTGATCACTTCAATAAACGTTTGAACTATTTATTATGGACCCATGTGTTCTCTTCTATGCAGATAGAAGATCTATGCAGATCTATGCAGAAACCACTGTACAAAATCAGGCCCAGTGTTGCCATGTCAGGTCAGGGAAAATCCACAGTTGTCACAAGGGAGGAATGAGTGCATGCATGCATTACATACAATTTAAAGTTTTCTTCACGGTAATTGAATTAACAGTATGGATGTGGTTCTTCTGTGCCCTTTGCTGAATATTATCACATGTACTCAAAGTATGTATGCATTTAATGAGCTCAGCTCCAGGCAAGCCATTTCAAAACACATATTAATTTGGTCTTCAGCTGAAAAGGGCCAACTAAAGTGACAGACATGGAAAAATACAGTAAGTGGGCTGATTAGAGTCTAGCTACTTCCTCATATCTGGAGGTGGTAGATGTTTACTCTTACCCAAATAAATTTAATGAAAAAGATAATGATCATATTAAGACCTTGAAATAGATGCCATTAGTCAAAGAAAGTTAATTATAAGTTGAGAATTAAAAGCACTAACCTGATTCCCCTGAGCTAGCAAGGCTTTCAAGCGAGCTATTTCTGCTCGAAGCTCGCGGATTAGCTTGACATTAGTATCCTCATTAATGGTGGGCTTGTTGATAATGTTCTTGGCTCTATTTGCATAGCGAAGTGTACTTAAGGTTTCTCCATAATTGATATCAGCAGGCGAAATAGCTGTGAAGAAAAGAAGTCAAAGACAAATTATTCAGCACCTTCGGCTCCAATGAACAAGAAGTCGGTGTAGAATTTGAAAGTCAAATATCTTAGTGCGGCTATGAAGATGGTGTAATTTGGCTCATTGTTCTTCTATTTTTTGCCTTTTCTGGGAAAAAGATGCTGATCGATGCTCGACTCCAGGCAGATATGAAGAAAAGAAAAAAAAAAACACAAATAAATGCAGTCCTGCATTAAAAAAAACATATTTCAATGTATTTTTAAATGCAACTAGTGTAAGTACCTAGATTTGCCTTGGAAACAGCCTCCAACACTCAGAGGGGCAGGATTAGTAGCCAACTGCACACTTCTGCATGCACATTTGCTGAAAGGTAACATGCTGACAGGAGGCAAGAGCAAAGTGATGAGTCCGTGTGCTGTTGCTACTTCACAAATCAGTAACCTGGGGTTGTGTTCTTAACCTAGTTGTGCTGCTGCAATGAGAGCCCATGAGTGCTATTTGGCAGGGGTGTCTGGATCACAAAGCCAGCTTAACAGAATTACAAATCCTTTTGTAGTTAAAACAGTTCCCATTTAGAATATCAAGTGTAATTAGAAGCTTTCCCAGAGTTTAACACATGGTCTGAGCCACGTGATTTTCCAAAGTGTTAGAAAATCTCTGCATACAATAACAAGCTCTTCTGGTGCGCATGTGTCACTGCTAACTTGTCTGTAAAAGATGCAGAGAGAATTGATTCACATAATGGCTTTACTACTAAGTGTTGGTCAGCAGGGAGGACTTACAAAATTATAAAAAGCAAAGCAATGGCATGTTCCATATTGCTATGGTTCAAATAACAGATTGGAAGAAGATTAACCCTTTCATAACCACTAAAGTCTAAATGTTCTTGTTTTTAATTCAAACTTTTTTGTGAGAGCAAAAAAAAAAAAAAAAGAGCGAGAGAGGGAGAGGGGGAAAAAAAGAGCGCAAGAGAATGAGAGATTATTATTATTAGGAACCCCATTGATTGGTTCATGTTCACCAGTCTGAGGGCATTTTTCAAAAAAAAAAAAAAAAGAAGGATCCATAATGGGGAAAAAAAGAAGAAGAAAAGGAAGAAGAATTAATATTTGACTAATATTAAAATGTTTAAATATTTTACCATAATAAATACATTACGTATGGCAGTCTTCATTTGCCAACTCACAAATGTTTGCTTTTTATTAATCTGCAGTAAACAGAGCAACTCGTCCCTTTCTCTATGAAGATCCCACTAGTCTGTAGCTGCTTGTCATTCTTTCTTAAGGGATTGAAATTACACTTGCATAATGCCCTGGATAGTGATGTGTGGCTACCACACAGGTTTCCAACTGTGTGCAACAAAGCATATATTTCAGGCAATTTATAAAGAGGGTTTTTTTTAACCCAACAGTAATTTACACTGCCTAAAAACTGATTTGCTTTGAAAAGCAATGAGTTACATTGAAAAAAGAAGTGTAGGCAAGCAAAGGGCAAAAGCCTATAAACCAGTATTGCTTGTGGTCTCCATGCAGCCGATATTTGCACAGTGTCTGTGTGGTGATGGCCACCTGGATAGAAGCTTGGCTTTGCTTCCTCATGTCAGAGCCTCCAGCAAAGAGAACAATAAGCAACACAGTAGCTACATCTCCAAATCTCTAGCAGTAAAGGTGCCCATACACTGTGCGATTATCGCACGATAATCGCGGGAAAACCCGCGGGTCGTACGATAATCGCAAAGTGTATGGAAGGCGTGCGACCGTTTTTACTGTACGGTCGCACGTCTTTTGTCTAAAGGAGCATGCTAGAAAACCAGAGAATCGTACGATTTTCGGCTGGTTTTTAGCATGATCGTAAGATCAATGCCGCACGGGCCGGTGTGCGCACACTGCCCGTTCAGCATTGCGGCCCGCCCCTCAGGGGGGCGGGCTTGCGATGATCACAAGTACGATCTGCCTGTCCAAGATGGGCAGATCGTACGTTTTTTTTTAATTACTTTACAACCATCGCAAGACTAAGGTCTTGCGATGGTTGTAAAGTGTATGGCCACCTTAAGAGGGAGCAGTGCCAGAGATTTATCACTGCAGATATACAGCTATGAGGCTGTAGGAACAAGGAGTACCTAGGCACACTTACATACCAGGAATTGATCGGCTACTTTTCAGGAGTCAGACAAAAAGTACTTTTTTTCAGGGTAATGTTTAGACACATTTAACACATCAAAGACGTTCTTAAATCACAACAAACCAATTTTCACTTTGACTCATTAATATGGTTAATAAAATAAAACTCTGTGTCCTTGGTGTACATATTTAAATGTAAAAACTCTAGCCAAATAGAGAAAAACATCTTTTTATAGTTCTGTATTCATGATGAATCATAAAACCTACTGTTTAATACAGTTAATAAAAGTGCCTGACAACTGGTATAATAAATGTTACAATTTCACATTTGCCCTATCTAACAGAAAGCAGAACAACAGAAAAAGTGTCCTTCTCTCTGGGCTAGAGCAATTATATATCATGGATGACAATGGCAGAACGGAGGATCAACTTCAAAGAAAAGGACAAGATAAGGAAAAGATTCCACAGGGATATAATGACCATTGTAGCTACACAAGTTTTTTTTTATTTGGGGGGGGGGGGGGGGGGGGGGGGGGGTAAAGA